TTTGCTGACTCTGAGTAGTCTAAAGCCTGATCCGGACCTGTTGTATCCTCTCTGTCATCTTGAGTACCACTTCGGTACTCCCCATGACCCTTTGTCCAACCTCACCCCAACATATCGGGGTCCTGCACTTCCTCCCATACAACATCTCGGAAGGAGGACGGTCAATACTCGCGTTGTAGCTATTATTGTAGGAGAACTCTACCAATAGAAGGTAGGTATCCCAGCTACCACCGAATTCTAATACGCATGCCCACAACATATCCTCCAATTTCTAGATGGTCCGCTCACTCTGACCATCCGTCTGGGGTGGAAAGCAGTGCTAAAGTGAAGATGAGTACCCAACTCATCGTGAAACTTCTTCCAGAATCTAGAAGTGAACCGCACGTCTCTGTCAGAAATCATGGAGACCGGCACTCCGTGTCGAGATACAACCTCCCGAATGTAGATATAGGCCAACTTCTCGACCAAAATGCTCTTCTGGATCGGTATGAAATGGGCACTCTTGGTCAACCGATCCACGATGACCCATATCGAATACACTCCCCGTGCGGTCTTGGGAAGCTTCATAATGAAATCCATAGTAATATCTTCCCATTTCCACATACAGATATCCAACGGTTGCATCTTATTATGAGGTTGTTGGTGTTATGCATTGACCTTCCTGTAGGTCAGGCACCTCTCGACATACCAGGCTACATCCCACTTCATGCAGGGCCCCCAGTAATCAGGACAAAGATATTTGTACATCTTCGTCGCCCCGGGATGGATAGAAAATATGGATTTGTGGGCCTCGTCCATCAAAATCTGCCGTACTCCGCCCAAGTACGGAACCCAAACCCTGCCGTGCATGGTCAACAACCTGCGACTGTCATAGTCAAACGAGGCCACATGTCTTATAATCTGCTCTTATTTCTGGCGCTCCTCCTTCAATCCCTCGATCTGCTACCTCTCGGATATGCTCCAACAACGGAGTCACTATCGTTATCCTCAAGAAAGTGCCTCAGATTGGGTCGGTGTTGTGACTAAACGCATCGACCACAATGTTGGCCTTCCCCGGGTGGTAGAGGATCTCACAATCGTAATCCTTCACCACATCTAGCCACTGACGCTGCCTCATGTTCAGATTCGGCTAATTCATGAGGTACCTCAAACTCTTATGGTCCGTGTAAATGGTACATCGGACCCCATAGAGGAAGTGTCGCCAAATCTTGAGGGCGAATACAACTATCCCCAACTTCAGATCATGCATCGGGTAGTTCGTCTAGTGAGGCACCAGCTGCCTCGAGGCGTAGGCAATAACATTCCCTCTCTATATCAGTATCGCGCCCAACCTTGAGATTGACATATCGCAGTATACCACAAAATCCTCCATGCCCTTTGGCAGGGTGAGGATCGACGCCTCGTATAGCCTCTGCCTCAATGTCTCGAACGTTGCCTGCTGCTCAGGCCCCCAACGGAACACCACGACTTTCTTCGTCAATCGGGTCAAGGGTAGGCTATCTTGGATAAGTCCTGAATGAATCTATGATAGTAGCCTGCCAACCCCAGGAAACTCCGAATCTCAGTTGGAGACTTCGGAAGCTCCCACCTCATCACGGCCTCCACTATGGTCGGTTCGACCTAAATACCGTTCTGGTTGACAAGGTGCCCAATAAACTGCACCTCGCACAACCAGAACTCACACTTGGAGAACTTGGCGTACAAGATCTCCCTCCTCAGGGTATCCAAAACCTCTTGCAAGTGATCCTCATGTTGCTCCTGCGTCTTGTAGTAAACCTAGATATCATCAATGAAAACTATCACAGACCGATCCAGCATCGGTCTGCATACGCGGTTCTTCAGGTCCATGAACGCGGCAGGAGCATTGGTCATCCCGAAAGGCATCACCACGAACTCATAGTGACCATATCGCGTCCGAAAAGCAGTCTTCTGCAAATCCTCCTCTCTAGCCCTAATCTGACGATAACTTAAATGCAGATCAATCTTGGAGAACCAAGATGCTCCCTGAAGTTGGTCAAAGAGATCATTAATCCTCGAGAGTGGGTAACGGTTCTTCACCGTTACCTTATTCATCTCCCGATAATCTATACACATCCGATGCGACCCGTCCTTCTTCTTCACAAATAGAATCGGGGCTCCCCAGCGTGAAATAGTCGGTCTGATGAATCCCTTGTCTAACAGCTCTTGCAACTGTATAGACAACTCCTGCACCTCAGGAGGAGCCAAACAATACGGTGCCTTGGATATCAGAGCCGTACCAAATTTAAATTTTTTAAAACATTTCAAAACCAATGATTATTACAAAACTTGTTTTCAAAATAGTATAATGTCAGAGTATCCCAGAATCAAATCATGAAAATATAAGGAGGTGTACGATCACGCATTCACCTTCCCACGATCATTAAAAGTACGTGAAACAATAATCGATAAATGTAAGCTTGAAGGCTTAGTGATTTTCCCCAAAATACCAACGCCATATAGATATCACCATATCATATAAAAAAACAACATGCATAATGAGCCTTCAGCCTGACTGGACCGCCTCGCAGGCCTTCAGCCTATCTGTATCGCTCTCTAAGCCTTCAGCACGTCTAGACTGCCTCGCAGGTCCTTCATCCTATCCAGACCGCTCGTCAGGCCTTCGGCGTGACTAGTATTCCCTCCTGGGCCTGTAGTCTATCCGGTCCACCCTTGATATGTTGGCCTTTAGCACAAAGTAGGACCGCCTCAACCCAACCCCCAAATCAAACAATCATGTGCAATTAAATATCATACGCTAGCATATATAACAGTCAAACTGATCTAACAGATCACTAATCATAGCAACATCCTATAACCATGATACAGACCTAACCGGTCACTAACAAAATATCATCCTATATACCAAGATACCGACCTAACCAGGTCACTAAGCATATCACCATCCTAACTACCAGGATGTAAATCAATAAGCATATCATGCAATGAACCGTATATAATCCGAAAAGGTTCGACATTGGTGCCTTAGACCCTATTGATATAGTGAGAAGAACTCACCTCACAAGTAGCTCGAGATGATAATGTCAAACTCCTCCAAATACTACTCCAACTTCAACACCTACATCCGTCAATGATCCACTTCCATAAACTTCCAAATTACTAAAGTACCCCTAGAAGTCAAATTGGTCAACCCTTAGTCAAAGTCAAATTCAACAGTCAAGGTTAGCATTCCTCGTTGACCCAACTCGTCGAGTGCAACTCACTAGCTCGTCGAGTCCTTCCAGAACTCGACAACTCGTGAAAACCCTAACTGACTCGCTGAGTTTCCAGACAACTCGTCGAGTCCATGTGTGTACAGATGTCAGGGAAAACCCAGACTGACTCGTCGAGTCATCTTACTGACTCACCGAGTTCATGCAGAATCAAATACGGGAAATCTTCATCCGATTCGTCTATGCGACTCTTCGATTCATGCAGTCTATTTCTTATTTAGACATTTTTAAGCCACCCCAAAGCTCCATATTGCAGATCTAACCTCCTAGGGCATGGTTTCCACGTAAAGTTGCAAACTTTACGTACATGCATGGTCCTAAATGCCAAAACCAAGCTAAGGGAAAGGTTTAACCCAAAGAGAAAGGCCCAAGCTTGCTAAATGTGACAAGTTTATGGCTATAAGGACCTAGAGAAGTCCAGATCTGAAGGTACAACTTCAGATCATGACCAATACCCAAAATGGTTCATATATGTGTGTGTGTGTATATATATATATATATATATATATATATATATATATATATATATATGTATGTATATATATATATATATATATATATATATATATATATATATATATATATATGCTAAAATGGCCTTAAACTTAGGCATGGAGAGATCTAGCTAAAGATAACTCAAGGTTATGACTTGATACCTTTAGAATGATGCCAAGATGAAGTAGAGTCAGATCCACAAGCTCCTCTTTGCTCCAAGCTCCTTATACTTCAAGCCTTCTTCATAAAATGCACCAAAAACACTCTTTAATCCTCACAAACACTCAAGAACAAGGTCTAAGTTGGTTAGGGTTTCTTCTGGCCATCAAGAGGTGGTAAGGGGCTGGAGGAAAGGACTTAAGGTCCTTTTAATAGGATGCAAACCCTAAAAATGAGGGTTTCTATTCACAGACTCTACTCGTCGAGTAGAGGTCCTTCGACTCGTCGAGTAGGAATCATAAATCACACGGGTCAACTAGGTTCGACAAGACGATTTGGTACCTCTAACTTGTCGAGTCCCCTCAGTAAAATGAACATAAAGCTTTCGAAAATAATACCTCGAGTCGGGGTGTTACATCATTTTTAGGGATAACTTAAGTATTTGCACCACAACCTACCAAGACAATAACCAAGGTAGCAAATAGAATTTATAAGAGTAATGCAACTTGAAATGCAAACATCTTGCTGACTCGTATAATTTATTTACTTTTTAGATAATTCTTCAACTCATGTATAACCTTTGCATCTTTAACAAAGGAAACCCCATAGAAATCAACTTGATTGGCCACACCAAATTTGATATCATCCCAATCCTTTTCTGTTTTAAAATAACATAAAGGATTACATTCTCAAAAGAACAAAAGATTACCATCCGGAAGGTTGTACTATTATTGAGTCTAACCAGTGATAGATGGTAGAGTTGCACTTTTTTCCTCTAACATTTAAATTGTGTCTAGACTTGAGCTCTCCACCATCTATAACTTCAAATTTTACTAAATCTTTTGTCTTCGATTTCACCAACGATATCATACCACCTTTAAATGATGAACAGCAACTTATAACTTTTTAATAATCAAGAAACAAGAATTATATTATTCCTGGAAATAAAGTTGTCATGTTAACATACCATCAACCAGAAGCATGTCACTAGCTTCTACATCATTAACAAAATCATCATAATTAACACTAACACACATATAATAAATTCATACACACACATATATCAAATTCATACATACACATACATATAGTAAATTAATGCACATGTAGTTGTAGAACCGATAGTGGTGGAGTTGAGGTGGTAAGCGTCGCCAAAGACAAGCAGCACTTTGGCAGTGTTGCGATGGTTGTACAATAGTTGAAGAATGGAGGAATCTCCTTAAAACCACCAAAATCAGCAAAATTGGAAAAGGAAAGAAGAGAAAGAGAAAATACGGTGTAAATGAGAAAGGAATAAATACCTTCGCCGGTGGAGAAGTTCGTTGGAGACAGACGACATATTGGCGGTGTTACGGTGGTTGTAATGGAGGAATGTCCTTAAAATCACCAAAGAGAGAGAGAGAGAGAGAGAGAGAGAGAGAGAGAGAGAGAGAGAAACAAAAAGAGAAAGAGAAAAGACGGTGGAAATGAGAAAGGAAAACATACCTTTGTCGGTGGAGAAGTTTGTCGGAGAATCGGATTGTCGCCAGTGGAGCAGTTGGTACGCCAATGAAGAGCTGGAAATCACTCCGGCGGAAGAAGTGGGGTGCCCTGGTGGTTAATAATCGATGGAAAAGATGCAATCGTCATAGCTCGTTGGAAAATCGTTGCAATCACCGGAAAACATGAGAGAGAGAGAGAGAGAAATGGAGTGGAGGTACTAGTTCTGAGACCAGGTGGGGAGCAAAAGGGAGAATCTTCAGCGACAATGCCTTTAGTGGCATCATTTGAACCTTTAGCGGCGACGAGTTGGAGGAAAAACATGCGTCCATTTTTTTGTTAGTTTTAGCGACGACATAATCATCGCTAATGGCGATATCGCTAGTACTATGAACAATAACAACTAACTAACCTCAAGCCTTTGGATCTGGATGCAATCGTAGGGCCATGAATTCATCTGGAGACATTCACACGGATCATCGGTACCACCCTTTAGCAACATCGGTATTAACGGCGACCTGACCCTTTAGCGGCGACCAAAATGCATATTGTCTATATTGCTGTCCATAAAGTTACCTGTCGTTGCTAATGATGTCGTCCCTAAACGATATATTTCTTGTCGGGTTGGTAGGGATAGAATTACAAGATATATGAAAAACAGGAAAGAAAGACCATACAAACCAAAGTTTTTATATGTAAACAACATTTTATGTTTAATAGAGTTGTATATTTATGTTTAATAGAGTTGTATAGTACAAAAGCAAAAATTGTTACGTGCAAAATCATTTCATTTATCTAAAAGGTGGTCAAAATGAGGGTTTTTTAAGTTATCCCATTTTTATAGCACTCAGGTTAAGGATTATATCTCTTCATGTTGAACTTTCTAAAGAAATGACAACCTCATATTTTTAGGAAGACTTGAAGCTGACACATTTTCCACACAAGAGCAGGTTTTTGAAGATCATTTACCGGAGGAACACGCCACTTTACTTGCTTCCCACGCGCTATAAACCTCCGATCTTCAGCAACTACACTCAAAACACATATGGCATCATCTGGTTATTCACAGTCGTCGGCATTGCACCTAGTCATCTCTAGCATTACTTTCTCTTTCTTGAAACCCATCGAAGTAGGCAGCATAGCCGCTTACTGGGGTCAACACACTGATGAAGGGACCCTAGCCGCCGCCTGCGCCACCGGAAATTACAAGTTCATAATGATAGCTTTCCTGACCACCTTCGGCAGCGGCCAAACACCAGTTCTGAACCTGGCCGGTCATTGTGATCCTGCTTCCACTTGCTCCGGTTTATCCTCCGACATACAATCATGCCAGAACCAAGGTATCAAGGTGTTTCTTTCTTTAGGAGGAGCTGTCGGGAGCTACTCGCTCTCGTCATCTGAAGATGCACAACAAGTTTCCGATTACTTATGGAATAACTTTCTCGGTGGCCAGTCGAATTCCCGGCCATTAGGTGATGCTGTTTTAGACGGAATCGACTTTGTTATTGAGTCCGGATCAGGTGAGTTCTGGCCTGACCTAGCCAAGGCACTGGCCCTGTACAGCTCTCAGAAAAAGGTCTACTTATCTGCAGCACCGCAGTGCCCTATCCCTGACGCTCGTCATGATTCCTCAATCCAGACTGGCTTATTCGACTACGTCTGGTTGCAGTTCTATAACAATCCGCAGTGCGAGTTTGGGGCGGACGCTGATGCTTTATTAGCTCGATGGAACCAGTGGACTCAGGTCAACTCCAATCAGATTTTCTTGGGTCTGCCTGCAGCCACCGGAGCTGCCAGCAGCGGATACATTCCGCCGGATGTTCTTACGTCTAGTGTTCTTCCATCGATCAAGAGCTCTCCCAAGTATGGTGGGGTTATGCTGTGGGACAGGTTCTTTGATCAACAAAGTGGATACAGTGCAGCTATCAAAAACAGTGTTTGATAGATATATAATTAATATAGGCATGTGTTTCTAGTTTGAATAAGCATTGATCTATGTAAGAAAAAATGGAGTTTCACCATTTTTATGGGTTATAACTTAAATAAATGACATTTATTTTGTGTTTACATTTAACCAGTAACTAGCCAATAATGTTTTATACACATTTGATCGTTCTTGTTCCATCTATTTAAAAAAAAGGGTGATATTATTTTTTTAACATGGGTTTAATAGTTAAATGTATAAAATAAAACGTTATTAGCTAAATAAGAGCATCAAAACAAAGTATGTTGCCCTTATAAATCATTAACCCTTTTTTTAATCCATAATTTCTGGTAGAATAAACAACATAAAAGCTAATTAGAGTATCTAGTTTCTTTTCTTTTCTTTTTCTTTTGTAAGAATTTGCTCCAACCATTTAGTAAACTACAAGTTATTTCCTATACAGATTTTTGTCTTTTTTGATTCTTACATTTCATTTTACACCCTAGATAATTGTAGATATCATATGTTATTATTTTTGTATTAGTGAATTTATCTAGTTAAATATATAAACTAAAAGTAATATATTTGTAGAAATATAAGTCTTTTGACACATCCATATAGTCACAACCCTTTCTTCGATGAGCCTCATTACTTAAAACTTCCTTCTCTTGAAGGTAGTCGATTAGGAGAATTGCTATGTCACTACATGGTATATATAGTACTCTTCTGCATGTTTCATTATTGATCTTTTATATGGTCGGACATAAATATTTTACCTGTTATGATATGAATCACCAAAGTCTCCCTATTTTTCAATTGTTCCGATCATATCCGAAAAATGAGAAAGGGATAAAGTCAAGGATTCCTCCTGTGTTGTATTGACTTGAGTTTACCTTCTGGAGAAAGGTCTTTCTTTATAGATGAAGAATTGAAGACGCTTATGGCAACTTTCCTTATATGTCTGAGAGACTACATGTATGTTGCAAGAGTTGATGCTTAAGTTACATGCATGATGCAGCTAACAAAAAAAAAAGGTTGGCTCTAAAAGAGAGGGTGTTGAATTTGTGTTGCCGCCTTTGCCTTTTGCATTGGATGATTGAATGACCATTGTATCCAAAGGAGTCATTGTATAAAGTAAACACAGGAGGGTTCTTTTGTCAATGCTTGTACAATTAAACTCAAATAATGACAACAAATATTATTATTTTGGCAACAATCAGAATTCGCTACACATATTCAAGAAACTAAATTAAATTGCAACTTAAGTTGATAAAGAAGCACAAAAACATTAAAACCTTTAGGCTAATTGGATGGCAAAAAAAAAAAAATAATTAAAGTTGGTGTCTTTACTGCTGGCTGCTGATCTACACCACCTTTCTGACCTGAATATTGTGGTTGGATTGAAACCGCCAAATGGGGTTTCTCCCGCTCTGAAGAAGAGCTACATGCTCACCTTCCTTCATCATCCCTTGATTCTGTACACATACACATACACATTTACTTTACTTTTTCATTCACACCTCATACTCATAATATGTTATCAAACTAAAAACAACAAATACTTCTTCTTATGACTTAATGAATCTCACCTTCAACAGAGAAAGAGCATCTGCAAACGTTGTCTCAGAATCATCTGAGAACTCCATGTAAATGGGGCAAACTCCCTGATACAAAGCCAATTTCTGCTGTACCCTTTTACTGTTTTTAGACACACATTACATCATCCAAATTCAGTAACAAAATCTATATATATATATATATATATATATATATATATATATATATATATATATATATATATATATATATATATATATATATATATATATATATATATATAATATGTAAACTCATAATTTTTTATTAACAAAAAGACTTACTTGTCTGTGAAGGCAAATATAGTGCCATTGGGTCGATAATGGCTGAGTAGGACAGCCATGGAACTTGTTCTAGTGAATACAACAATTGAAGTTCCAAGAGTGTTTGACATTGATGTTGCATGGTATGCAAACATTTCGCTGATATGGTTCTTTTTTTTTAAATAAAAAAAAAAAAAAAAGCAATTTTAAGCATTTAATTTAACAAATCAGAAAGTGTATATATATTAAAAAAAAAAAAAATAAAGCAGTTAGTTAATCCACCTTGAATGCTTGATTAAGACTAGAAAGCGTGCCCCCACTCATTAAGCTTGATTCGGTTCTTAACGACACTGTGTGCATCACATTAACTGCTTTTAGAGGAAACCTGCAATTTGACATGATTAATTAAGAATATAAGTCCTAATCATTAATATTAAGTCAAAAAAGAAAGATGGCTTACTTTCCATGAGCAGTTTCTCCAGAAAGCATGACTGCATCAGCACCCTCTCTAACAGCAATAGCAATGTCTGACACCTCAGCTCTTGTTGGTGTGGGATGAACAATCATGCTTTCAAGCATATTTGTTGCAACTATTACAGCTTTTCCCATGCTACGACATGTCCTGATTATCTCTTCCTATAATTTCATTACCACACAACTTAATTAATTAATCCACTGTTTGTTTTTTACTATCTATACTAAAACCACCCTTTCTTCTTTACCTGCAACAATGGAACCTCTTCGATCGGCAGCTCTGCACCAAGATCCCCTCTTGCAACCATCGCCTAAATTAAATCAAAACCAAGATTGATTACAACATTAACAAACTTCCAAATTTCGTATCAAGTATAAAACAGTAAATTTAAAAAGTTACCCCATCAGATGCTGTGATAATTGAATGCAAATTTGGTATGGAGTCTGCGCTTTCGATTTTTGGGATAACTTGAATATCTGCACCACAGCCTGCCAAGACAATAAACAAGGTACCAAAAAGAATTTATAAGAGTAATGCAACTTGAAATGCAAACATCTTTGCTGACTCATATGATTTACTTACTTTTTAGATAATTCTTCAACTCATGGATAACCTCTGCATCTTTAACAAAGGAAACCGCATAGAAATCAACTTGATTGTCCACACCAAATTTGATATCATCCCAATCCTTTTCTGTTTCAAAATAAAATAAACGATTACATTCTCCACAAAAAAAAAAAAAAAAAAAAAAAAAAAAGGTTGTACTATTATTGAATAAGAGTCTAACCAGTGATAGATGGTAGAGTTGCACTTTTTCCTCTGACATTTAAATGGCGTCTAGACTTGAGCTCTCCACCATCTATAACTTCACATTTTACTGAATCTTCTGTCTTCGATTTCACCAACAACGACATCATACCACCTTTCAATGGTGAATAACAACTTATAACTTTTGATAATCAAGAAGCAAGAATTATATTATTCCTGTAAATAAAGCTGTCATATTAACTTACCATCAACCAGAAGCATGTCACCAGCTTCTACATCATTAACAAAATCATCGTAATTAACACTGACACAGTCTGCTGTACCAACACCTCTTTTTATTGTGAAAGTGAATTCTTGGCCACTTGCTAAGTTAACTGGTTGTGGCAAGTCCCCACTCCTGACCTCAGGTCCCTGCAAAAAGGCATCAGTTGATTAGGGAAAAAGGTTGAGTTGATTGGGACAAAAAATTGGAATTGGTGATATCAGGAAACGTGCCTTGGTGTCGAGCATGATTGCAATGACATTATCCTTATGTTGAGCATTGTATTCTTTAACCAGATCAATGACTTTCTGATGAGAAGAATGATCTCCATGTGACATGTTTAGTCTTGCAACATTCATCCCAGCCTCAGCCAGCTTCCATATCATTTCCTTTGTGTCAGTGGATGGACCAATTGTACAAACAATCTTCGTCTTGCGCTTAATTATGGGCTTCGACCACATAGCAACTGAACTATCACCCTTTCCTAAAACCTGATAACTCTGCTCTCCTATCTGATTAACGCATTGCAATTTTAAATTAGACAACAAATGTGTTCATACATACAAACAACGATTTCGTTTAACGACAACATTTAAGCCTAAAATCAAATGAAGTGGAGAAATTACAAACCTTAGGTATATCTTCAGGTGTGACGGGAACAACCTGGAGGTCCGCCGTTCTCCTTGCGGTGACGGTTAGAATACGATGGTGGCTGGGGATAATCCGGCCATTGGAAGCGAAACCAGCAGGTTTGATCTTCTCAATCTGATTGCTAAGAGATCCATTGCTAAAAAATGAATTATGAAGCAACTTGGTAGCAACTACTTGTGCCATTGTTGTTGCTTGGAAATATGATAATGAAAGTGAAGAAATCAAATCAACTGAGAGAGGAGGGTGGGGAATGAGGTTTATAAAGCGTGGGCGATGTTTTCTGAGGGAAGTTGTGATTGGAGAAATCGATGGTTGATTTTGGAGGAGAGAGAAGAATCAACAATGGAGGCCTCCTAGAGTGTATCGAAGAACCGAAATCGAACAGGTGAAGTAGTTGGCTGGGTGGCTGACTAGCTGGCTGTTACAGTGTTAATCCCGTACCCGGTTTAGCTTGTTTTTAGGTATTTTAAAAAACCGGTACGGTCCAGGTAGTTGGTCCAACCGTCTACAATGGGCCTTGCTTTTTAAAGTATTCAATACTTAGTTGATGTTAACAAGAAATAAATAAAAATCAAAGTCAAACCAAAACTAAATTTTATCATACCACTTCAAAATTAAAAAAATAAAAACTAAAATATAATGATTTTTATGAAATAATTTATTACAGCTATGTTTCGTTCGTGTCTGAGTTTGCATTATATTAAATTAGGGTTTAATGTAACCTTCGGACGTGAAATGCATATAATGATACACTAATTTACTAAAATGAAACCTAAAGACTAGAAAAATCATTTTAAAATCCAGTTTTAATTGTTAACCATTTTGTATAGTTTATTAACTTTTAAAAGAAGCTAGGTGGTGTTTGAGATTGTGGTTTAAAAGTGCTTATTTGCTTATTGGCTTTTTGAAAAGCTAATAAGCCAAAAAAAGTATTTGGCAAACTCAAAAGTACTTTTCAGAATGGCTTCTCTATAAGTTTCAATAAACACTTTTTAATAAGCAT